TCGAGAAGACGCACCGCAACACATGACTCCGGCATGGTCAGTGATGGTGCCATGAGTCTGAGTGAGTTCCAGCTAAACATCCCATCAATTGTCAAAACTCATGCAAATGGTTTCTTTGCCGTCAGGTGGACACTCAATGAAGCACTCAAAATCCATGCCCGATTCCAGTTCCTGCTCTAGGAAGCTAACAAATAAATGGCCTTCAATGAACACAGACAGTGGCATAAGCATGTTCTCTGCTGACACAGTCATGAAATACAAGGAGTCAAGGTAGACTGATTGAATTATTTACCAATTGCTTATATTGAATTTCTTGTATTTGGATATTTTGCAGCTCCCGGTCTGGTTCAAGTTCGTCATCAAAATTGGAGGAAGGAAAACGAAGACTGGAAGACGAGCCGCGTCGCTCTCGTCGATATGCCCAACCGCAGCTACAATCCCATATGGTGGCCATGCAGCAGCAACAGCCATTATCCTCCTTCAGCAGTAGCAGCAGCGGCAGCAGTACAATGCATCACCATCAGCCTGCTACTATTGCAACGTGTCCACCGCCGTTGCCTATCAAGCCGCCGGAGACGGTTGTTGTGTTCTCATTCTGCGAAGAGCCAGTTCCTTACAGAATTAAAATACCCGGTACTCAGCCGACCCTGCGCCAATTCAAGGACTTTCTGCCCAGAAGGGGACACTTTAGGTATGGATGATATTAGGCATTTTGTAAAAATTCAATAATTTATATATTTGGCATTTGCAGATTCTTTTTTAAGACTCATTGTGAGGACCCTGATAGTCCAGTGATTCAGGAAGAGATTGTTAATGACTCCGATATACTGCCGTTGTTCGGAGACAAAGCGATGGGTCTTGTCAAACCATCCGATTAAACATTAAGCATTAAGTGTAGATTTTGTATTTAAGATAAATTATGAAATGTGAGGGAGGTAGGGGAGAATGATGTATGGTATGTACATGCATCTTAGAGATACAAACTCGAGAAGCTATTCCCAGAAATCAAAACTTAAATAGAACTAACTGTACATTCAATAGGCTTTTGCAAGCATCACAAACTATTGTACGTGGGGGATCTGAGGGGAAGGGAGACTGGGTTTGGGACTGGGATTGGGATTGGGACTGGTACTGGGGGAGCGGGCTTATGGGGTAGTTGATAGTAGGAAGGAGCAATGTGTTTCATCATTTCGTCCTTAACATCCGGAGGTATTTTTCTAAATAAACGTATGATTAATAATAATGAATTAACACCGAAATCAATTTGATGTATATGTATTTGTTATAAGTCGAGCAACGCGAATCGTACATTTACGTATATATGTATTTATTGTATTTTGTATATGTTAACACACAAACTCAACGAAGATCCTGAAAATTAAGTCAAAATACTTTGTATATCCCACGTACCGAACACACACAAACAAACGATAGAAATTATTGAGCACAGCACAAAAATGCAAAATGAAAATGGAATAATTGAAAGATGGAAAAATTAAGAAAACAATTTGATGGGTATTCCTGAATTTGGATTTGTTTGTTACTTTTTACTAACTATGGACTGCCTGCAATAAATTTTGTTAATATTTTTATAATGTGCATTTTATGATATGATGATATTAACAAAGTTCTATTCAACTTGACGAAAAATCAAAATATAATCTGTTTTATTTTTGTATAATCTATTGTACTGCATATTATAATGTATGTAAATTTGAATTTATGTATTTATATATATACACTCAACACACACACACACACTTACATGCATATATTGTGCTTTCGTCTATATTATATATTTATATAAAAATATATATATATTTACCATTGGACACAAATTTCTTTTGATAAACGATGAGTGCTAATTGCTCCAATAGTTGCATAATTGCTTAAAATATTAATTGATTAGTTATACTTGTATAAGTTATCAAAGAAAACAAAACAAAAAATAATAAAATAAACAACACAATAAATATTTTTTTAAGAAGCCGAGCATAATATCGCAGAAATATGAAATTAATGCATACATTTATAATAGTAAACAAAAACCATATTTTATTTGTGAGCAAAAAACTGCATGTAGATCTAATAAAAACGACAAACAAACGAATCAAGTACATGAAATCGAATTTATTTTTTTATTTAGCTGTCCCAACATATAATTAATAGAGGTGTATGTACAAATCGTAAACAAAATCATGTGAATCGCTAGACTGGCGTACAATCGTCCCGCTGGCAATGACTTAAATAGTTCTGTTCATTGATGAATGTGTGCGTGCACTTGGGGCAGTGGAAGCGCCTGTGCCGATTGCTACCCGGATTCTCATGCTCTCGCAGATGCGCCTTCATATTGTACATTTGGGAGAAGCGCTTATTGCAGACAGGGCAGGCGAACGGCTTGGCGCCCGTGTGGGAGCGTGTGTGACGCTCCAGATGGGCTTTGGTGCGCGTCTTGAAGCCGCAGACTTGACACTCCAGTCGCTTCGATTCGCTGTCGTGGATCATTTTATGCTTGTACAGCGCCACCTTGTGTACAAAACGTTTCGAGCACACCTCGCACTGATACGGCGTTTCACCCGTGTGCCATGCCATATGATGTTTCAGTCGGAATTTGCGACTAAAGCGCTCGCCACAATGAGGGCACTCGAACTGCTTGACTGGTTCATGGTTCTGCAGGTGGCCAATGAAGCCCGAATAGGATTGCAACGTCTTGCCGCACTGATCACACACATAACCAGGAAAGTGTTCACGTTTCGTGTGTGCATTGTATGCCCGACGACTGCTGAACTGTTCGGGGCAGCTGGGGCATTGTATGTTCACTGTGTAGTCACCCGAACTGTCCTGATCCTCAGCATCTGAGATTAGGTATTCGATAGTGCCATCCATCTGATCTTCGAACTCACTTAGCACATCCTTGTCTTCTCTAAATATTTCTATTTCATCCGCTGTTTGCTTCGTCTCATCATCGTCCAAATCCGCTTCGGGGACCTCTTCATTTATAATTATCTCATTCTCAATATCTAACTCCAGGTCGATCGCTTGGAATTCCTCTTCATCGCAATCAGAATTCTTTACAATGAAATTGTGCTCATTTTTGACATCTACATCGTCCTCCTCCAACCTTTCCTCTGTCACCGCTGTTGGATCCACGATTGTCGGCTTGACCGCTGGCATTGCATCTGTTCCATCGTCTAAATCACATGCATCCACTGTCTCTACCATTTCCACGCTGATGTTGCCATCGAATTTGTCAGGGTCGTCGCTTTTGTGTTCACTTCGGGAGATAGCCGATTTGAAGTCCTTGATTATAAATGGACTACGTATCAGTTCGAGGATCTCCTGGCGCAGCTTCCGTGCGATTTGTAAGGATTTGTGATAGCGCGACAATTTCTCGCAGCATTTCTTGCATATTGTCGAGCCCACCTCGGCGAGCACATAGTTCGTGCCCTTCGTGCATTGCACGACCAAGTCGCTGATTAATATAGGCGGCTTTCCAATCGTCTCCTCGTATATGTTTTTTGGGTTGCGCACAGAAAACTGGCAAATGCAACAGTTCATTTTCCGTATTTTTTTAATTGAAGATTGAATATTTTTATAACAAATATCAAAGCATTAAATTCTACTAGCCGAAAAACATAATTGTACAATACTGTTCAGCAGTGTTGGAAACAGACGAAATAAATGAGTTTTGCTGTTTCCACTGCTTCAATAAATGTGCTAAAGTGACATTTTTAGATCGTTTCCACAGAAATGTCAAACTAAATTTATATCCTGTCACAACTGAATAAAAAAAAAAAATAAACAAAAAACGGGACTCCATGTAAGTAATTTTACATTTTATTTTATTTATTATTTTTTATGTTATTCATACAGTGCATCTGTTATTCCTTATTTCACCCCTTCATATTTAAAAAAAAATGTATAGCAACCCTATTTCCCAACAGTAATTTTAAAATTCTTATATTCAGGAGTGCCCAATAATATTTCTTTTGTCAAATGATGATCTGCTCTCCCGAAGGTCTGCAAATATAATAATATAATAATAATATTTAGATATATGTACATATGTATGTATATATAAGAATATCTAATAGTTTACATTGCATTTTCCGTCGATCGTCATTTCTTGAGATTTGGCATTAATGTTCATCATACCACCACCTAAGACTTTAGAGCATAAACCAAGTTCCTCCAGTTCTTCTCTGATTTCGGCATAAAGGTACGCTAAGAATTGAATAGGAATTAAATTTTGAAATAAATATTTTCAGATTATCAACTTACGATGTTTTTTTGCACGCCCACCTTGTACAACTGTTCGGGAAAACAACGTTTCGCCATGCATATAAATGGAGATTAACAGATACAGAAGTTTCCCGTCTCCCAACTTTACTTGAGGATAATTTTTGAGATTCTGTACTGTCCTCTTAGTAGTTGCATAATTTCGCACTAAACATTGATTTGAGTTGAAACTTCTTGAAAGCTATATATACGTTTATAATATAACTTACAACAATATCGATTCAGAGTATTACGAAGCGGGAGTATAACCTGTGGATACTTCATTTTTTTTTTCTTTTTTTTTTTTGCTTTCCAAATAGTAATTTACAATACAATTTTTAATAATTTCAAACCTGCATCCAAATTGTGTTTAGTTTGACTGATTTTTTGTTTTTAAGGATTACCAAGCAGTCAACATTTACCCATGTTACTTTGTTTGAAATATGTATATTTACATATTTTAAATTTCGTTTCATATAACTATAAACCAGAAGTTGGCAGGTTGGTTGCAAAGCTATTGTCGGATCTGCTATGACATAACCGTTTAAATATGATGTAACCATATATATATGATACGTAATAATTATATGTTGTATTTTATGAAATACAATATATAAAGGTTATTTGTATATTTAAATTTTTTCTTAATTAAACTTAATAAACAAGCCATATATATGCATTCTTATACACTCCAATGAATTTTAGTTTTTGCTCAAAAGTAATACAATTTTAATATATAATTTAAATTCATGTTCGCAAAAAGAAAAGAAACTAAAATATAATTAATATCCTTCATCGGTTGTCTCGATCTCGTAGTCTTTATATTTTGTTTGTAAAATCCTTTTCGATTCAACATGATCAGCCTTACCAAAGCCCTGCCATGGGAAACAAAATCATTTATTTATATTTGCAATAATCAAATTACAATATGAATTTACTTGTGAGAATCCATAGACTTTCATATATTTCTTTTCTGGGTCGTGTTCAATGCGTCCACCACCCAGGCATTGTGAGTCCAAGCCGTTCTTTTTGCAAATCTCCATCATGCGTTCATAGATATCAGCTTAAAACACAAAAAGAATTAGCCAAGATTATTATTACCCAAGAAAAAGTCAGCAAACGCAACGCTTACAATGAAATTTACAATCAGAATATCCACGAACAACCAATTTTTCGGATGTTTCGGCGCAGTCCTCGTTGCCATAAATTTTAATTAGAACATATTTAAAAATTCCTTTTTTGTCTACATCCACCAAAGGTATTGAATCAAAAGCTCTGCTAGCCATTTTCAGTAATCGTATTCCTTTATAGAAATGATAAAAGTTCGTACTTGTATAGGCAATTCACTATTTCCATTTTATTTTTATATCTTACCGCTAGGACGTGCAACAGCTGATTTTAGCAAATTTTTAAAGACACATTGCATTTTCTCTAGTAATGACAGATATTGAGATGATGATACGTTTAAATATCGTATAGTAGTAACTGTGATTTTCTAACAGTGACAAGTAACATCATTACATATATTTGCTTAGAGTTTGTAGTACGAGAACTGTACCCAAAGTTTTAACGCATTGTCTGCTCATATTCATATTTTTGTGCGCTTTTCAATTAATCGTGATTTTGGTTCTGGTATTTTTAACCCAACTAACGACAGTTTTCCTGTTATGTTACCGATCCTTACTACAAAGTATCGATAACTTTTTCGTCATATTGTTTTCACGCGTTGCAGCTACTGAAAATGTTAATGTAATTGCTTATCGCTGTTCAAAGTAAAACAGCTGACAGAAATCTACCGTGTACAGAATTCGAGAATCAGACAAAAAATATTTTGCTATTGAAAAGCAAATATATACAGATTCCAATTATAGAACTACCTGACAATTAAGTTTAATAAATTACACATAAAATGAGCACAGCACGGCCATTTTGTTTCGTTTGTGGCAAGGTGAAGTCTGTTGGCGTCTTTCAGCTCATTGAAGGCAAGTTTAAGAAAACACAATTGAAGAGTTCCAAAATTTACGCTAACCATTTTAGGCTGCATCGTCCCGGGCACATTTAAGCCCATTAAAGACATACTGAAATACTTTGAAAAGGTAATTAATCAACGCTTGGATCTGACTCCCACGTCGGCTGCTTGCAATGATTGCCTCGAATATCTCTTCAATTACGACCGGCTCGTTCGAAACCTGAGCCAAGTGCAGCGACAAATTGCGAACTCTTTGCTAAGTTGTCGTAAAAAGAAACCGATATGCTTACAGCCCAAGAAGGATACAGTTAAACCGAAAATACCGGAAATACGATCGAGAATCGTGGAAAATGAATCGCCACAGAAGAGCTTCAAGCGGGAAGCAGATGAATTTTTGGATATGGAAGAGTCAAATCGAGAGTCCCCATTTACCGAGAGCGAGGAGAGCATGGACGACTCAGATGGGGATGATAACCTTGATATTCCATGTCACATATGCGGCGAACTTTTCTCGAATCAAGACTGTCTCGAAAAGCACATAAAAACGGACAATTGTCAAAAGAACGAATTGGCCACCTGTAATATATGTGGCATTAAAGTGAAAAACGACGAAGTTCTCGATCTGCACATGAATCTTCATGAGGGCAAAACGGAACTGGAATGCCGGTACTGCTCAAAAAAGTTCTCACACAAACGGAACGTCCTCCGTCACATGGAGGTGCATTGGGACAAGAAGAAATATCAGTGCGAAAAGTGTGGCGAACGCTTCTCACTGTCCTGGCTAATGTACAATCATCTAATGCGGCACGATGCCGAGGAACATGCCCTGATCTGTGATGTTTGTCATCAGCAATTCAAAACGAAACGCACCTACAAACATCACCTGCGTACTCATCAAACCGATCGTCCGCGCTACCAGTGCACAGACTGCGAAAAGTCCTTCGTCGATAAATACACCCTAAAGGTGCACAAACGCGTCCATATGCCAGCCGAGTCAACAATGTCGGCCACAGAAAGCCAGGCAATCAATCTTTAAAATCACAATCGTCTTTTATTTACATTACAATTCATGAACACAAAGACAACGTAAATTAATTAATTAATATATTTACACTTAGGTTTTAAAGACTGTTTAAGTAACTGATTTGAGTGGCCATTGAGATCGAGCTTTGGTTTTACCTATGCTATTTCATATACGAAAGGAACACCTTTCTGTTGAAATGGCATAAAAAATGAATTGTTTCAGAAGAAAACGGGCACTAAGTTCGATATTATTATTGCAAGAACTGCATCAAGTAACAATATTTTAAATAAATGTCTCGGTATATATTTATAATGAAAATAAATTAAGAATAAAAATTTACAATCGAGTATTAAACAATTGTGCAATTTTAGAAATATTTGTGTTCAAAATATGTCTTTTGGCTAAGACATATGTAGATGTCGCTGTACTTCCTTATCCGCTTGACTCGAAATTTCAAGTTGATCCTAAAAGAGCAGAATGGATAGGATGCCTATATAAAATGGCCATGAATGGATTTACAAGCTCATAATCCACTCTTAAAGTAGGTAGCAATCAGTAAACTCTAAAATGTAACTGTCATAAAATGACAGATGTCTTTAACCATCTGCGGATCGTACAATAGCTTACCTGCCCATACCTAACCAATATTTATTAAATATTCTATATATAGCCTAAGCGCTTGCAACATTTGACTTCAGTTGAGTTTCGAGCGTTTACCGAGAATGGATAAATTATTTTTGCAATTGAATGTGTGCACAGAGTTGATTGAAAAGTTTACAAACATTGAGTCGTTGAATAGATTTTGTGCCACATTTCATAAGTTTGCAAGTAAATTAAAGAACTTCTTGCCAAAAACTGATGTGGATGGATATAGTAAAATACACATCGAGACGATTTATCTGTGTTTCACGCAAATCATCTCGTGTATTACGCAATTGGAGCGCACCATCAATATTGAGGACTCTGGTGGTTCTCCCCTGTTGGCAACTCGAACACATTTTCGGGATCGCATCGAGTGGTGTCTGCGTCGGCTGCAGGCTTCGATATATCAGCTGAATGAGGAGGCTATAGCCAGCACTCCAGTCAAACTCGAGGAACTCTCGTTTGTGGAGCTATTGGATTTGGCGTTGGATAAATTGGAGAGCTACAGCGACATAGTCGAGGAGGAGCAGGATGACCTTTTCGATGCTAGAGAGCACCTTCAGCTAGTGGATCAAGTGAATCACATTGTCCGGCATGCTTTGGCCTTTGCCAATGTTGCACTCGAATCGGATAAGAAGGCCCTGACTGCCATCTGTGAAACAGTTCTGGATGAATGTGTCACTTTTGAAAAGAACTTTGAGAACTATAATCGAAATGAGCGTAAATTGGAAGCTTTGTCTCTGCAAAGAGCACTGTATTCAGTGGAAACATATCTGAATGAAGCTCTATTGCGTCTGATCTTCAACAGCCTCGGGGAGACATCTTATATAAGTGAATTGAAAAACGCTTTGCAACAGAGCGAATCTTCGGCTGATGTGGAGAAATTGATTTGTGATTTCGACATCAATGTGGATCGCATACAACAGATTGGCGTCTTTGCCATAGCCTTTACTCCAGATGTGAAAACGAAGACAATCATCCGAAGTTGTTTGGCCTCTTTGGAGTCCTTGGATGCGTGTATTGTACCCGCATTTCAATTCCAAGCCACGACGTCGGCTTTATACCATGCAAACATTCTGGAAAATCATTTCAAGGAAGAGCTACTGATGTTTCGCAATGTTGTTCACGAAATAATTGACAGTCGAGCCTTGATCAGCAACTATTTGGATATCTTAGACGAGAGCATTGACAATGCAGCGACACTCTATCCCAAGGGCCATTTACTGAAAGTAAGCCAAATGGGAAACGTTTTATTCGAACACTTTCAACTTAAGGTGAACTATCAAGAGCTAACTGAAGATGTAGAAGGCAAACGATTGCATCAAGATTTTATCGCTATCTTACGTGAATGCCAGGCAGTACTTGAAATATCCATTCAAGTGGATCTGAAACGTATTATAAAGCGTTTGAAGATTTTGTATTCGGTTTTAGCAAAACTACGCGATGTCTGCGATAGGCTAGTCTACCAGAGATCTGTCTGCAAAAATGAAAAGTCCATGACGACATCAACGCAATTACGAAATGCCTCTCAATCATTTACTAATCCGGAAAGAGGAAATACTATTGTAAATAGGTCCTCAACATCATTAAATCAGGAGAGTGATCTTTTAAGTTTTCACCTGACTGAAATTCTGCGTATAACTTAAGCTATAACTTATAGCCACGATATATGTAATTAATTAATTTAAGGCATAATTAAAATGAAATACATCTAATGCTTCACGTTGATGTGAGAGCTATAAATTTTCGTGTTACATTAATTTTAAACATTAATGAATAAATACGAACAATTTAATTACATGTCCGTTATTTAAATACAAAATTAAAATTTGAATACTTTCTGACACAGCTTGGCAGCCCTGCACTAGTATTGTTAGGCCAATGTTGACAATGTTGTATTGCCAGTGCTAATGACTATCGTTATGACAGCTAACAAATATCGGCACGTCATCGATTATTTTGCAACGCTGTATACAAGCACAATTAGGTATCTAGAAAAGGTTGATTAATAAAGTTAAGAAATCTCTAAAAGTGTTCGCACCCGCTATCAAATTATCATATCGGTCCATCCCTAAAATACTTACATCCCTAAATCCAAACGGCGATTTTTGTAAACATTTACGACACTCTAGAAGACGAAGGAAGGCCGATATTCGGAAATCATGAATACATGCTTCTTTTGCGGTGCCGTTGACATACACGGCACTGCAAATTATGAATTGCTCTCAGCCAAAGTGCCTTCGTCACACAAATCGGTGTCATTAGTGCTTACCCACCTCGCCAACTGTATGAAAACCGAAATCAAACTGAGTGCAGATACAAAACTTTGCCCGCGATGTTTTAACGAATTGGCCGAATATGATACCATTATGGTTAATTTAATGGTTACGCAAAAGAAGCTGACGACGCAATTGAAAGCGGCATTGAAATCCGAATACGAAGACGAGGGCCTGGTTGAGGAATTAGACAAAACCGCACAAGATGATGCTGAAGCGGAAGCATTATTTGAGGAGCTCGTAAAAGATGAGGAAGATATAAATATGGAAATCAAGGAGGAATACGATGATGATGATGATGATGACGAGGATTTTCTTTGTGAGGGCAAGTCCGATGGTGTCTCCGTCAAAATAGAGGATGAGGATGATCAAGGCAAATTTATGCCAAAGCGTGTCAAACAGGAATGCAACACTTGCGGTAAAATATTCAATGCACGCTATCAACTCCAGAAGCATATCAGCGAAGAACACAACAAAACGCAGGCTCATGTCTGTCCCATCTGCGGAATTATACGCCGCGACGAAGAATATCTGGAATTGCACATGAACGTGCATGAGGGCAAAACAGAGAAGCAATGTCGATACTGCCCCAAGAGCTTCTCACGGCCAGTGAATACGCTGCGGCACATGCGCATGCACTGGGACAAGAAGAAATATCAATGTGAAAAGTGTGGATTACGCTTCTCTCAGGACAATCTGCTCTACAATCATCGCCTGCGTCATGAGGCCGAGGAGAATCCAATCATATGCAGCATATGTAACGTCTCATTCAAATCGCGTAAAACTTTCAATCATCATACTCTCATCCATAAGGAGAATAGACCACGGCATTATTGTTCCGTTTGTCCGAAATCTTTCACGGAACGTTATACACTTAAGATGCATATGAAGACCCACGAAGGCGATGTGGTCTATGGCGTGCGGGAGGAGGTGCCCGTAGATGATCAGGTGGTCGAGGAGCTACAAGTAGACGTTGACGAGTCCGAGCAAGCTGTCACAGTGATTATGTCTGATAACGATGACAATTCCGCCGGATTCTGTCTCATATGCAGCACGAATTATGAGAACAAGAAGGAACTGGAGCATCATTTACAAATTGATCATGATGTCGTATTAAAATAAATAGCATTTAAGTATCCCCAAATCTAACATATTAACCTTTATATGTTTAAGCAATTGAATCATAATAATTCTAGAATCCTAGAGTATTTAGGCTGGAATAAATTCTTGACATGACTTATTTTTCTAAATGAAACGCTTCTATGTACGAAATATTTCAAATAAACAATAGTTCGACTAAAACCAACAATTTGATGGCGGGAAGTGGAAATCGAGTCACTAATCGATTGCAACTATTTCATTAGTTTCAAAATCGTAAGGCGAATAGTTATTGGTTTTGACTACCGGGGTTCTTTTTAGGCGTTTATACAGATATATAGATATGGCATATTAAATATAGTGCAATCAAATCTAACCATTTTTAAAGTGTTAGGCGGAAAGAGATAATCGAGTAGCTTATTACCTTTGCTAGGCAATTAAAAATCTATATTGACCCAATCAGACACACAAATAAACAATTATTAGAAATATTCACTTGTAACGTTTCAAATAGTTGTATTCCGACTATGTTTATATAAAAACTCGTATAAGTGAACTCCAATCTTAAGCTTATTCGTTCTCCTGGGAGCGCAGGCGACCGTTGGGGTTTGTTAGACGCACCGACAATTGCTTGGCGCGCTCAACGATTTCCTTGCGTTTCTTTGAAGAGACACCATGGGCGATCTCACCGCAGTAGACACGATTCTGCATCAGCAGCACCTCCAATTCGCGCACATTGTGTACGAGGAATTTCTTGAAGCCAGTGGGCAGCATGTGGCGGGTGCGCTTGTTGGAACCGTAACCAATGTTGGGCATCAGATATTGGCCCTTGAAGCGACGACGTACTCTGTTGTCGATACCCTTGGGCTTGCGCCATTTGTGCTGCAATGCATATGAGTAAATTTTAGTATTGAAAATTCTTTGCTTATATTTCATATTGAACTTACCGACAACTTGGCATATCGATCCGACTGGTGACGGATGAAGTGCTTGGTGCGCTTCTTAACGATCTTGGGCCGGTATGCTGGGCGAATGGTCATTTTGGAGCTGTAATTAAAAAACAAATCCTTATTAGCATTTGGTTCTTTTGAATGTCAACAAAACTTTGTCTTGAGTGCACACTAGAATCACTTTATCCGATTGCAATTTTAGCATCTTGCACATTTGCAACTATTCAGTAAATGATTTGTTTCAAAATAAAGCAACACTTTATGGTGATGTTTAAGAAATTTATAGATTTTAAGAATTATACGAACCGCTTATATGCTAAGAGCACGTCAAAAAGAGAGAAAAAAGACGTGAAGTTGGTCGCGCTTGACAGTTGTCAGAGCTGACAGTGCCAATAGAACTGCCAACTGATGTTTCCGTTTGAAATTCTGAACTTGTCATACAGGATTGACCGGCTATCTGATATATGATATGATATGATATTCATAAATTGAAATATTTATTAAGCCGATTTGTTAAAAATTATTCAAAATTCATTTATGAATCGTAAGACGTAGGCGTATGATTGTATGTTATACATATGTAGCCTGGGTAAAAAATAAATTTTGATTCTTCTAATATATTTTTCAATCTTGTATTTATTTATTTTATTTTGTTTAATCCGTTCAGTGTTTGAATATTTTACTGAAATTAAGAATGTTTGTCAAATTTGTGTATGATAAAGAATCGTATAGTTTCATGTACTCTTGAGCATTAAGCACATGCATATTTATCGAGCTATCGATAATATTATAGTACAAAAAAAGTGTTGTACTACCTGCGATCTCTGAAGTGTCTGTGAACTATTTATAAATATACGAGAATAGGAGTCCAACAATAAATCTTTCGTAATTAAGAATCGCATCATAAACTGTTATAACCGCTTATCAGTACGGTATGCCAATAATGATGTTACCGAAATAGTAATGTGCAAATTTCGATCACACTGCACGTTCGTTGTAATATAAAATTTAATTCATTATATAATTAAACGAACTCAATGTGAATGAAAAGACCAAAACAAAAAGAACAAACTGAACAGGAAGTGTGTGCAATTGAGGGCTACTACCATATACAATGGTAACAAGGTAGCATATGCGTACACGACGCATGCAACAAAAACGGCAACGGCAGCAACATGAAAGTCGATGGCGTTCTGGATAAGGATGACAGCGTGATAGCCAAGTCGGAGCCGGCGATAATAGCGACAGCAACAGCAACAGCAGCAGCTGCAGCAACAACAGCAACAGCATTAACCCCAGTGACAGCAACACTTGCTGTTCGTGCTAGCCATGAGAACATCTTTCTGGAGCGATTCTTTGGTGCCTTCCAATGGGAGGAGTTTGCATGCGGCTGTGGCTCGGCGTTTGTCAACATCTGCGTCACATATCCGATATACAAGCTCATATTCCGACAAATGTTGCATGGAGTGCCAGTCAGCTCGGCGATGTTGCAGCTACGTCACGAGGGTCTCGGATTTCTATACCGCGGCATGCTGCCGCCTTTGGCACAGAAGACCATATCGCTGTCCATAATGTTTGGCGTATTCGATGGCACGCGGAGATATCTGGTCGAAGATTATCGCTTAAATGATTACGGTGCCAAGGTGATTGCCGGCGTTGTCGCAGGCAGCGCGGAATCAATTTTATTGCCATTCGAACGCGTGCAGACGCTGTTGGCCGACTCAAAGTTCCATCGTTATTTCTCCAATACGCCGAACGCGTTTAGGTAAGCGAAAGTAAAGTTCTCTTCGATTCCGAGATAAATTATATAAATTTTTTGTAGATATGTTGTCACGAATTACGGTTTTCGGGAACTATACAGAGGCATTGAACCAGTATTTTGGCGCAACGGCTTATCGAATGCGTTGTTTTTCATGCTGCGTGAAGAGGCCAGCGTTCGTTTGCCGAAAAGGGCAAGTATCTAGAAAAGCTGCAAAATTGAAAAGAAATGAGCAGACTTGACTTGTGATCTAGATAATTGCTTTGGAAATTCCTGTAAAAATAGTTTAAAGTTCAAGATAAACTTGGATTGAGTAGAATTTACATTCAATTTTGCAGCTTTGCTTTACCTCCAACCTTCGCCGTTAAATAATTAATTTGATTTTCTTTTTACTTACAGAAATCGGTGTCGACCAGAACTGCACAAGAATTTATAGCTGGCGCCGTGATCGGTGCCAGCATTAGCACATTATTTTATCCTCTCAATGTGATTAAGGTGTCGCTGCAGAGCGAAATGGGACAATTAACTGAGGGCAGTTGGCATGCCTGCAAGAGGATCTATCGGGAGCGTGATAGTCGAATTGCTAACTTTTATCGGGGCTGTGCATTCAATACGGGTCGCTCCTTTATCAGCTGGGGCATTATGAATGCCGCATATGAGAACCTCAAGAAGTTGATGAGTCAGCGCGAGCTGAAGCCACAATCGACGGCCATGCAATGACGTTAAGCTATGTCTTACGTAAACTACAACTAAAACTAAAAATAAAATCTAGTTGAATAAGCTTAATGTATACACAAATGTTTCCTTCAGCCTTTAACTAGCAAATTTTTCGTTTTAAGTCGTGTGCTAAGTGGTTGTTTCTTTAGCATTGCGAGTGCCAAAGTTTTTTTTGGTCACTCAATATATGTAGCCAACCCGTAGATCTATAAATGTTTGACGTTTCATACACCATAACCACATATAAATGTATTTCATTTTCGCTTTGGTAATTTCATGGAGACTGTAAAAGCTGAATTTGTTAATTTAACTTTGAAAAACCAACGAAAGTGCAATGGCAGAGGCCAACAAATTTGTCAACAATTTGTCTGGCTAGGCGCGAGTACAATAAATGTGAGCATTTAATAAGCCCAAAATAAATAAATATTTAACTAGTTAAATTAAATAACTTGTATATACAGAAAATATTACGATGTAACCTAATTATGTTGTTATTGTATATACGACTTGCGTGATGTTTATGAAATTAATAAATTTATTCAATGTACTTGGAAAGGTGTATTGTTTTTCTGAATATATTTAAGGTTGGAAATTAAACTAAGAATTTAATTTGTTATGAATTATTTATTTTCTTCCTCTTTTCTAAAGCAAAGTTGAGTTTTACACTGAGTTTAAATTTAAACGTTACATTTTAGGGTAGGAACATGTCTCTATAGCTATATATAAGATTTCCCACCGAATAAGTAAAACACAAAAAATTAATTTATATTTCTCTAATATATTTCAGCATTTTCATAGAATTATCAGCACATTCTAAATACAATAAAAATAGTTAGGGTCTACAACTAATACAGAAATAAATATTTATATATTAATAATTATCAAATAAATTATTTACATTAAAAAAATTACCACACATATCACAAAAACTATTAAATCGAACTCTTTATTATAAGGAAACCTAACGTTTCTTAAGCGAGCTGCGATATCTCTGATAGAAATCCTCCATGGCTCTATATTCGGGCTCTAGGATATCGGGAATTTCCTTATCCAATGAGGCAAAGTAGATCATTTCAACTGAACAGCTGCCACGTAATTCTTGTTCGTATTCTCGCAGCTGCTGAAAGAATCCGGAATTGGGCCTCACTTGCGGCCGTATGGATTGAACGTGTGTGTAGGCCTCCCGGAGACTCATGCCCCCATACTTCATTAGGTAGGCCAAGCACAGCGAGGCGGAACGACTCACACCGGCGACGCAGTGTACCAGGGTACTGCCGCCACTGAGACGCACTTCCTCAATCAGATCGGCCACTTCATCAAAATGTGCTGCCAAATTCACGCCGGCTCGATCCTGTGCATTGATCCGCAGATACAACGGATTGCTTAAGCTGGAGAGTGGCGTATCTGGCAGCTCGGGCGCCACATTCACTACACAACTAATGCCCAGCTTGTCCAGGTGGGCGGGTACCACAGCCGCTGCGCCGCACAGGTAGAGCGAAGGTGTTAGCCTGGAAATGCCTGGATACGGCGTGTATTCCTCCAACTTTGTTTGACTGCAATAAAAATAAATAGATAAAAACTTTAAATTAAAAAATTTTAAAATATTTAGAAGCCGCTAATTGAAAATAATATTTATTTTTAATGTTATAAAGTCCAAAATTTACCTTTTTTAATATTGATTTTATCTATTGATTCTATCTATAAACATTTTTTTTAGATACAAAATGATTTATTTTATAAAATTTAATTGTCATATAATTAATAATATTCGGTAGATAGAAAAGCGATTTCCTTACCCAAGTATTCCCAAACAGTGTTCTATTTTGCTGAACATTTTTTTCACATTCTGATTTATTTCGGTACAAACTAGAGTCCATATTTAGTTCAGTGTGAATACCCGCAATAGCAGTATCAAACGCCATACCCACTTCTACGCCTGCCCATCTGCATTTGTATGTGTTATGCATCCCACCTGACCACAAAATAGATTTATTTTTAGCATATCCTACATAAAATCTTTAATAACAATTAGTCACTATATATGCTACATATACATTTATTTTTGCCCCTATTTTAGGTTTTGCAACTAATAGTTAAGTATTAAAAGCCTAAATATCAAGCAAGCTGTCAAAACCAAAAATATATTTCATCTTTTAGTCGTTCAAAATAATAAAACAAAAAACAAGAAAATTCTGCAAAGTTAAGACGTAAATAAAAAAGCGTATTAAAAAAATAAATACATATTTTTGAGTTGTTTAAACAAGAAAACAAATAGAATCTTAAATCAGTTCCTTCCCCTCCGATAAGCTTTTATGAATGGGCATTAGCGTCTCTTTTAGCATTATTGTTTTTGTTAAGCGTATTTATCTGGTTGATCTATTATATCTATATCTATGTACGTCATTGTTTTCTCAGCACCTACGTGGAATACTACACAATAATAAACATATGAAGACATTAAACATATGTCTCTCACCCTACCATATATTTTTTCCTGTATATATTTAAAAGAATTTTGTTTATAATTAGTTTGCCGAATGCGTTTTTATTTTGTTGCTTTGATAATGAGCAATATAAAAATAGAATTGATTTAAAAAAGGTGTTCAATAGGTAAAGGAGAGCGGGAGAGAAACAGAAACAGAGACAGCAACATTTAGGCATTACTGAAGTTCTACTAAGACTTTGCGGCTCAAGTCCCAAAATTGCTATAATCAATCAAGATATTTCTAAATTTTAATTCAAATTAGATTTATTATTTAAAAATGAGAAAAATCAACCATTTTTATAATAGTTTCTTATTGGTGACACCCTCTTTTGATTTGCATAAATATTATGTATATATAAATATACCAATATACAGATATACCAATCGGAGTATGATCATCAAATACTTGGCATCAACTTGGGCAATTCTTTGTTACCTTAAGTGATGACAACTTTGAGTTGACAGATTCATTTGAAACCAGAGAAAAAAAAAAAAAATACAAACAAAAATCAAGCATAACGGAATGTTAATGTAAAATAGAAACAGCAGCAACAACAAACGAATTTATTTATAGGTGCATTGGATATATTTTTGCCTGGCGACATTTCGTCGTCATTAAATAATAATCACAAATTCCTCTGGAACTTTGCCAAAATTAATCATCGGACACTTTCACTTTGACCGCACCACATTATGCTCATATATATATATATATATATATATATATATATATATATATATATATATATATATATATATATATATATATATATATAAATATATACGTATATATCTACAAAAATATTTTCAAATTTTGTTTACACCCTAGACTCAATGAAAATGTGTAAACTGGGTATATACGGAGCGTATAAGAATGCGTATTTTATGTTATTCTAAATGCCTGATTGGGTTTAATGGGCGAACTGATCTACAGTTTTCTGTGGGCTCTGACTATCTCTGTGTTCGTACGTTCTATGAGTTCGATTACCTCAAAGTGTATAAGATCTTCAGGCTTTAGGCAAATTTGAGATGATCTCCTTAAACTAGAATGTCCAGCTCTTAAGATTTGTTATGGACATACAACTTTTCATGCGCTAAAACTATTTCTATAATGTTTTAGATAATCGATCGATTTCGAAATGTCCATAAACTCGAAAGTCCAGCTCTTTGGATTCAATATCATGGATATGTAATCTTTTTGGATACCTTTCAAAGTTAATTTTACTCTGTTTAGCTTATATATGTACATATATCAGGACTGGGTATCTACTAGTCCAGCTGACTCAAGTGCTCTTATGATTCGTTCTTTGCCGTGTGAAAATTACCAAAAAATATTTGCTTTCGAGCCCAAAAAACAAATGCAGCGCAAACAAATAACAATTTGTGATTTTATCTATAATTAAAAGAAAATTTATGTTTATGGCGAGCTAAAAAATATAACAATATTTATCCCGCTCAAAGTTGTTGACACTCTAATATATATATAGAATCATGTGATGACAAAGGGAAATGGGTTAATGTTATAATCTAGATTCTAGAACAAGTGCAGCCTTGTAGCCAGGCCACTTCCTAGAAAATCTCTATAAAATATGTAGAGCACAAAGGAATTTGGCATTTTGATAGACCACAATTATATTTATATACACAGATATATATGTTTTTACATATACCTAGGTAAATTTCAGCTTACAATGCGGATATCTGTGTGCATAAAATCATTTAGGCATTTCGAATTCAAGGTTGAAAATATTGCTGATTTTGTTTGCCAATTTTTTGCGTTGTTGTTTTGATTTTTTTTTTTTTTTTTTTTTTTGACAGGCAGCAGACAGAATAGAATAGACCTTCGTCTGACTCGATATGAAAAATGATGATTCCTCTACAATATTTAGGCAATTATTTTGTCCTTGAATTCGATTGTCAGAGTCAGGGCTGTCAATAATGAACGTGTGCACAAAATCATTTTTTATAAAATATTTGTCAAACATTTTTAAATATATTTAATGTATAATGTATTTGCAGGTTTGTCAGCTCTGCATTTGAAGTTATGTTTTAGCTCTGTTAGCGTTTTTATTGGCAGTTGAAGTTCAAATACATTTAAACAGTTTGAAAGACTGTTATATCTACAGTCTGGCAACTCTAACAGTAAGTAAATTCAAAAAGTCTTTAACTGCCATATAAAATAGGAATTTAAAAAATAGGAAAAAAAAAATTGATTTGATTTTTACTGTTTTTTGTGTGACTTATAATTTTAAAAGTACTTTTAGAATTCGCTTTTTTACATAGCGTCTTTCTGTATTTATCTAAAGCTATATATATAGCCTTCTTTTCATCGGTTTCCTATATTGAAATATATATTCATGAAATGCATTTCGTATAGATAGGGCACATCTGTAAAGGTATTTGGCATGGAATTTGGCACAAAGTATAGAAATAAAAATTTGGCACAATTTGAATGCAGCGGAAAATCTGACCATATGCTTCATTACACACACACACACATTAGAGCATTAATGCAGTTGAAGGTGTTTGCTTTCAAGTTGCTCACATTTTCCTGCTGTATTATTAAGTTTTTTATGTATATATATGTATGTTTAATATATATCTAGAGTTTTGCAAGCAAGCGTTTAAATTTAAGTAAACAAAATAAATAAATAAAAAAAAAAAATTAGTTCATATTGATATATAATATATATATTTATATATACGAGAAATTGAATTTGATTGTCATTTTCATTGCGTTTGGTTTGCCTTTGAATTTTTACATATATATAATAAAAATATATTAATAAAAAAAAAAAAAAAAAAAAAAAAAAAAAAATAGATTAATTTTACAAATTAAAAAATATTCTACAAAATATGTATATAAACTCTACAAATATTTAAAATGTTGCCCAAACTTGTGTCCAGTAATTTATAGCAAAAAGCCATAAATGGTATTTAGTCACGCATGCCCAAACCCAGTGCCTCATATAGCCACGTATATGAATATATGTATATAAATATATATATAATACATATGTGCACCTATGTCGAGCCCAATTATCACAGTTAAAAACTGAGAACTTTGCGTTGCCATGACATAAGCGCGACCTTGACTCGATTCGAATCGAATTTGCATTTTCGCTTTAAATTGAGTGCAGTGCAGTGCAGTGCAGGTAATGTTTGTATGGCTCACCTTTGGCACTCCTTGTCCTTATCATTGTCATTATTATTGAATACCGATTTCGATATGCTGTTAATGTCTTCCACAATGCTTCGCAATTTCTTTTGAGTATCTGCTGGCAGGCTTCCCGTCAAATTGGGATCCGTAATTAACTCTTGCATGTTTACGAGTCCGTTGCCCGATCAGACGCCACAAGATATAAAAATTCCACAAATTCCAGAACGAACGTATACAAAAATGAAACTATTTCGTATCTTGTGAATTTGTTTTTGTAGCAGCGTAAACACAATTTTTTTTTTTTTTTTTTTAAATAAATTTATCTATATATTACATATGTGTGTGCAAGTTTATATGATTTTTTATAGCGCTCGCCTCAGCTGTATTTTCTTTGACGACGAACAAAAGTCGACTGACTCATTGGGCGCTAACACGAAACAGACAATTCGAAATATTTTCAGTTGTTGTCGTGGTGGATTTGTCGGTGCGTAAGGTGTATTTAAGTGTACACGAATTTCTACCTGTAGATATATATAATATATAAATATACATTCCTCTGCTGCACCTCACGTTTTAATTCAATCTTTTTTTCCATTATATAAATTGTTAGAATTATATGGCATAACTCTTAAATTGTTAATATAAAAAAATAAAAACTCTTAATATATGTAAACTCTAAGTATACATTTTTAAAGTTTGATTATTAGTTTTTAGTATTTAGAATATACAGCCAAATACTTTAAAATTTAAACGGTTATTTTCAACTTTTGTTATTTGTTAACCATCAAGCATTTTATTTATTTTTATTATTTAAAACATTTATTAAAATTTATTGAGTTCAATTTAACATTAAATACAATTTAAAAAAAGAAACGTCTACTTCCTAAACATTTTTTAGCGCCTACTGTTAATAACAGTTGAGTAAATGTTAGATTGCTTAAATTGCTTTTAACGTCGCTGTTAACACAAGCAAAACAGCTGTTCAATGTTCGTGTACAGCCACAAGAAATTGTGAACGAGATAGAGAATATTGCTTGATAAGAAGAAGACCAAAGCGCGAGTTTCTTGTGCATGAGAGAAATAGCAGCAGACGCCAACAAGAGGCCGCAAACAATACTATTAATTTGTACAAATTTTATTTGATCAGAATCTTTATTTCATAATTAGAATGGGTAAGGAGAAAGCGGGCAAAACATTTAACATCGGCGATTTGGTATTCGCAAAAGTGAAGGGCTATCCAGCATGGCCAGCAAAAATAACAAAGTACCACAACAAAAAGTATAATGTTTACTTTTATGGTACCGGAGAGACCGCTAATATAAAAGTTGAAGATTTATTCACATATGTGGATAATAAGGAGAAGTTCGCTAATCCCAAGAATATGAAACGTGCAAAATTTAGCGATGCCATCGATCAAATTGAGAGCGCATTGCGAGGCGAGGACTCGGCGCCAATCGATTTGCCAAGCAGCGGCAACGATGATGGCAATGACAGCACCATGGAGTCGGTGCTAGATGTAACAACCGAATCTGCTGCCAGCACTACTACAGTGGATTCCGTGGCAGCTACGGATAGCACCGAGGCAACGCAGCCAATGCCGCCGAAAGCGCGTGGAGCGGCAGGAGGTGCGACAGCTGGTCGCAAGGCGAAGGCGGCACCAAAGCACGTGGATGGCGATACAGAGGATGGTAGCACCGATACATTGGAGACGCCGCCGCCAACAAAGAGACGTGCTCCACCAGAAGGCATTTCCGGCAAAAAGTCCGTAAAGAAATCGAAGCCAATGGCTGCGGTGACACCCATGCAGAAGCGTGCGCGGCACTCAAATGTGAGTAACAACCGTATACGTATAAATCGTACTTAGATTTATATATCAAATTGATTTTCTCCCTTGCAGGTCATACAGAATAATCTGCTTATGGTGTATATGCCTACGGCGAAATGTTTGGGCATCAATATGAACTACAATAAGCCCGACAGCTTTGAGAGTCCGGCTGCGGAACAAGCCTGGTTGGAGAAGTCACGCAAGGAGGCGATTGAGTTGAAATTGAAACTGGAGTCGGGACAAATCGATGCGGAATCAATGCCGGAACGTATTATCATTGAGCCAGTACGCAATGAAATACCCAAACAGGAGGCAGTGCGTTTCATCGAGGAGCTCATCGAGCAGGAGGATGCGTTGTTTATGGAACGTGATTTTATACAATTGTCGCAGCAGCTGCGCGAATGTCTGGGACTGCGGCGCGCCAATGTGGGCCGATGCCTGGAGATTTTGGAGCAGTTGAAGGACATTGAATTGAATAAATTGATGTTGCTGCGAAATCCGGAATGTGTGGACATAATGCGGCGGTTACGTCGCTATGTGGGTAACTTGGAACTATGGAAAATGGATATATCGGATGAGCTGGAGTTCAAAGAGAAGGCGCAAATCATACGTAAAGTCTCGACAGGCATATACGATGGCTTTAAGGCGGTATTCAATCCTGACAGCGAGCCGGAGGAGAACTTCTGGGTAGACTTTTGCGAAAAAGTTAAGATCTACAAGAACTATACGAAAAACATCAACGATAATCTGCGCGTCTCGATGAGCGAGAGTAGCTATCAGAATTTGGTCAAGAGCAAGGAGCAGGAGGAGGCCTCTTCCACGGATTTGGTCGAAAACTGAGAGCATCACCAGATCCCATCTAACAACTACTTAAGGTACATCACAATAATAGGATTCTATTAATTATTTAATTTCAATATATTCACCCCATTTATTTTTCAGTTAACTTTAAGCATAACAAAAATTCAATTCACACCTAAGCGTACAGATGAATGTGAGGCACCGATTACTACTCTAAACCCTTCTCAGAGCCATTGAAATTGACATTTGAATCAATTAAACTGGTTGCAATTAGTTTTTTTTTTTAATTTTAATTATAATTACATCATCGGGCGCTATCCTATAACAGTATGAACTACCACGTTTGAGAGAGCTGCATCAGCAATCCGTAAACAAACACACATTCGCACACATACACATTCGCACACATGCATACCCACGCACACACAGACACTATAAATACAATTGCATAGATTATTATGTTTAAATACACAATTATGAAAATATGTGTATAAATAAATAAACACTTGACGATATCTATTTGCTGTGTCTTGTCTGCGCGAAGTGATTGATGGATTGACGAAGGATGAGCTGAAACAGAGGCAGAGATTGAGCAGGGAAGCATATAATCGGAACAACAAATATATACATATGATTAACTAGATAATAGTGAGTTTATAAATACAATTATTTTCTTGATCGATTGATTGACAACGGAAATGGAGATCGAGCAGAGATAAGATGTGTATATATGACTAAAATTGTATTCAAAATTTTCTAATTGATTGAATGTTTTTTGAAAGATATAAAAGCATTATCAGAGCAATACTATATGTTCTTTATGAGAAGGTACAGTTTGTGGGATATACATATCCGCAAACTGGGGATAAACCTATATTAACTAAGGAATATAGAATATGGATATGGAATATTAATTGATAGCTATCAAACGTATTAGAATTATACAGATAATAGTTTAAGCATTCGCCGATCGCCCTTCAGTCCTAAAAGATTTCGCCAAATCAATTTAAAAATATTTAACTAAAAGCCCAAGTTTCTTAAACTGTCCCAATTTAGGTTTACCCAGTAAAATGTACATTAAATAAAATATTTTCGAAATTAAAGCTAGTATATTTGGTAATATTATTCAACATTAGATGTATATACATTTCCGTCGTTTACAATGTGCGCTGTACGTTAGTTCTGGCCAACTTCTGGCCGATTTCTTTGCTTCGGTATTCAGCCTCAGCCTTTGGTCGACTTTGCCTGGTTTGAGCCACACGCCTGGCACATCTCTGGCTCAGCTGCTTCTCGGACAGCTTTAATGTGGCCAACATGCGTTGTTTCATGCGCTTTATGCGTTGCTTCATTTTTGCTGTGATCGGAAAAAGTGGGTTAGCCTCATCGTTAGCTTGAGCTCTGCTCCGACTAAAGTGCTTCTCGTCGTCCGTCAGCGAGGCTTGTTTACTGCGCCGCACCTCCGCGCAATCTTTAATAATAATTTCTGGTGCGATGATACTAGTAAAATCATATTATATGCTATTATCTGTTTCCGGTTCCAGTGCTAAAGGGTCAGCATTCTGCCTAGCCGAATCGCTGTCCATTCGTTAGCAATTGGACTTTTATTATTGTTTACATAGCGCGAAAAGTGCGCAGCTGTGCGTTGAAACGAATGAAATTGGTATTTAGCAGTCTGCTTAAATTTCTGTTAATGGCTATTAATGTAAATAGAAACTGTTAATAGAAAAATTTGTAGATATGTATATTACATAGTCAGTTGAGAAAGCTCTATATATTAAAATATATATCATATTTATTAAATACGTATCCTTCACAAAAAATATTAACTTGTTCAGAGTCCTTACATTTAACCAAAATGATCGTCGTTTATTAAGAACATAGCTTAGCTTCTACCTGATAAATTCATACCAAAATATCATTTATCGAGCACTATCAATCTTTCTCCTTAACATCTCCAATTCCCTCGGGTAATATAGCAAACATGGCCTCCGATTCAGGCAAACAGGGCGAATCATAGATCTTGCAGATGCGCGTATCTCCCTTGCCCTTGCGCAGATATAGACGCGTCGTCGACGCATGCGCCATGATATGACCACCAATTGGTTTCTTTGCATCGGCCACAAACATTGATGCACCGCCATCCACTTGAGCTGTCACTTGATTCGTAATGACGACCGCAACGCCAAATTCATCGGCCAAGCGCTGCAACATGCGCAAAAATAATCCCAAATGATTTTGACGTGCAGCCAATTCTCCGCGGCCAATATACTCGGAGCGATATAGCGCCATTGCACTGTCCACGATGATTAAGGCGTATCTAAAAAGAAGATATCAATATATATATAATAAATATTTATATATATAAAACAAAAAATTTTACCTCGATTCAAACATCATGCCCGCTGCCATTTGAACCAGTTGCGTCTGCTGATCCGTATTGTGAGCCCGTGCACAGGCCACATTATCCAAGACAGCTGCCTCATCCATATTGTATCGTTGCGCAATTGCCGACAAGCGTTCTGGCCGGAATGTGCCTTCGGTATCGATGTACAAGGCTTTGCCTTCGCCCCCGTTCTGGCTGATGGGCAGCTGACAGGTAACGGCCAGCGTATGACAAATCTGGGTCTTTCCACAACGAAATTCACCAAAGATTTCCGTAATTGAACCCGTCTCAATGCCGCCGCCAAGCAGTTTATCCAGCTCTTTGGAGCCCGTTGTGAGCATCACAACTTCGGAGCGCATTTGATGAAAGGTGCGTGCGCTGGTAAAGCTTAAAGGTATAAGTTTTGACGCCTCCTTCATAATGTGATCCACCTTGGATTCGCCCAGACCTTTGATATTTAGCAACTGACGACGCGTCGCATATGTCACCGATTCCACTGTATGTAAACTGGCCTGCTGTAGTAGCTTAATATCTCTGGGATTGATATTGCTGCCCTGTAAAATTAGAGTCGACTATATATATGACGACAATATTCAACAATTTATTCGCTTGCCTGTAGCTTAAGTACGTCCAGTGGTCCTCCATCATCCTCTTCTTCATCCGAAACATCGGCTGTGGTGGCTGAGGCTAGGTCTGCCTGCTTCTGTGCCGTGCGTTGCTTTTGCTCCATTTCTATTAGTTTTTCGTACAAATAAACAGTATATCAATCTGTCTTTTGCTTTAATAAATGACTTTCAAAATTCTATAATGTTTGCTGCCAGATTCATAAAATATACGCGGGCTTAATTGTGAAATGTTATAAACATTTTTTGCCATTCACAAAACCGACGCAGCATCAGCTGTTTGCTAGTAAACGGAATCAAGTGTTGAAAAAGAAGAATAAGGGAACGTTGAGATAGAAACAAGTAGTCTAAATGAAAGCACTTACATAAATAGAAAAAAAAAAAAAAAAAATAAAAACAGCATTTATAACTCATTCGACAGCATTTCGATCAATTAAAAGTGGAACAGTAGCGGAAGATCTTCTGTTAAAGGTATATTAAATAGAAGTATGATTGGATATCATTACTTCGATGTGCGACTGTAAGTTGAATGCGGCAAATCAAAGTGAATTGTCACAGTTAACAGCACACGTGCATGTGTTGGTTTCACCAGTGTTATTTAACGCAACATTCTTTTTTTATTTATTTATTTATTTATTTTTTTTTTTTTTTTTAGGAAATTTCGGGATTTTGATAAGGTTGAGCTTACGCCAATTTATTTTCGGGGCTGCGTTTTGAACTCATTGGAGAAATTCTTTGGCGAAATTGGCGGCAAGACTAGTTTGGATATTGTAAAATTTAGCGTAGAACAGCGACGAGTTGTTTTCCGCGTGCCCGAGGAGTTCTATAAGCGCATCCATACTGTAATTACATTGATTGGGCATTACCAGGAAGTACCGTGTCATTTTCAAGTTCTGAAAACTTCTAAGACTCCGTTGGACTTCGAAAAGTATTTTATTGGAGAAGATAAAGGTGAAGAAGCGTAACGAGACAATAGTAAAGCATGGCGTTCTCGTATTGTAAAGTCTTCGGCAAAGATAAGGTGATCTTTGCCACCAAAGAGGATCATTCAACGCCCAGTACTGTTGAGTTGCCAGCACCAGAGCCGCCCCAGGGTCTCATCACAAAAGATGGCAAGATTAATTGGAGCTGCCCATGCCTGGGTGGCATGGCTACCGGACCATGCGGCGTTGACTTTCGAGAAGCTTTCTCATGTTTTCATTATAGCGAAGCGGAACCGAAAGGTTCTGATTGCTATGAGGCCTTCCGTAAGATGCAGGATTGTTTCCAGCAATACCCCACTGTTTATAATAAAGCCAATGGTGGAGATGATGACGACGATGCCCTTGGTGATGTTATGAGTTCCGATAGTAGCTCCAATATCAAAGATGTCGACGAATTAACTGGAGGAGCTGGTGCTGCGGCAGCCGCAACAGCAAGTGATACACACACAACAACCACAAATGCCGTGTCCAAAGTGGAATAAAATAAATCAATAAATAAAAAGTTAAACATAAAAATTATATACAATAGATAAATTGTTTAATTTCATATTATTTTACAATTACTTCCGTTAAATAACATCCTATCAGCTGTTAATTTTTTGTTTTGCTCTATAACAGCTGATTTGGTCCTTCGGGGAGCCGAGTTTCAAGTAAACCTTTGTGTTTATTTTGACCATAAACAAATTAAATCTTAAAGGAATTTATTAGGTTTAACTTTTGTATAATAATGCAGCAACTATTTCTAAATATTGTAATTATTTATCACTTTTTAAGATTATTAACATTGCGTTAAATATGTTAACATAAAGTATTTTTCTGGTATTTTCGAAAATTGTTAACAAAAACATATGCGATATGGGTAATTCTGGCCGTTTTCGTCGTGTAGTTATCGACAGGCCACCACAGGTAATCGACCGACCACCATAAGAAAAATAAGAAAAATAAGATATTATGAAAACCGTGACGAAAATGTTGTTATACGTATTGGTAAAATGCTTAATGTGCTAATAATTCTCAGATATGAAACGTTAAAACGTAAATTTAATATCAAATCTGTGCAAAATTTCAAAGTGCAATAGCTATTACGATTGCTGTGCAATTTGTTTGAGCTACAGGCCAACAAAATAAATCAAAACAAGTAAATAACCTTGTGTCTTGCAGTTCGAGCGCGCACCTAATCAGTAACAAAATAGAAAGTCAAATAACCAACAGCCGCCAGTGAAGTGAGTGTTGTGCATATTGCTTTCGAATAAATAGTTATATCTGTATATTATCGGCTATAAGTTATAGCATCCTAAATTTCACAATAGTGTATTTTGTTAAAGTCATTTACAGTGCATTAAAAAGTTTCGTGCTGCACAGTGACACAAATACATACGCGACACACACAAGCGCACAAATACAATAAAATATACGTATATACGCAGTTACGTATTGGTGTGCATAAGAAAGACGTGCGGAGAGGAATTCGAAAATATACAAAGTACTTCCACTTCAATAATTTTTTTTTTTTAATTTATAAAGAATATAACGAAGAGTCTCAACTTTAAAAATTTAATTAACAGGAAAAGCAACAACAAAAACAACAAAATCAGTGATTTGCAATAATAATAATAAAAAAAAAAAAATAGTAAGATTAAAGATTTAACAGCGAACCGTAGATTTGAATATTTGAATGCTGCTTAGGCTTCAACATTTTGTAGAAAATGGTCTCGTTAATTGATACAATCGATGCGGCAGCGGAGGCTCAAAAGCAACGGAGCGCCGCTGCCGCTGCTACAGCAACGTCGACTGTCAGCGCTGGAGCCAAGTCACCGACCGCTGCTGCTGCTGGCGGTGTTGTTGCTTCAGCAGCAGCAGCAGGTATTGCCTTGACCGCAAGCGGCAAGCCTAAGGAGAAACGAAGGTGAGTTATGGTCACCCCAATAGTTGGACTAATTTTGTCAACTCTCTTACCCCTCACTAACAGCCAAATAAATAATCTAAGCTCCTGCCATGTGATCTGTCTGTCTGATGGGCTGTTGCCTATTGCATAAGCAATTTGCTTTCTTTTTTCTTCAGCTGCTGCTGCTGCTGCTGTTGCCGTTTGCTGCGTTGTCGTTAGCGTTAGCGTCAGCGTCAGAGTCGCGGTGTTGCTATCGTCGCTGTTGCTTCAATGACGTTAGCTGCGGATATGTTCAATAGGGTTGAGGGATTTAACTGTTCACAGTATTTGCACACCCTAATGCGCACCCCATTTGAATTTTTAGCATTAGATTGATGGAATCTATTTAGGGTTCATATTGCTGTAACAATAAGATTGTAATACTGTAAGACCTTCTAGAATTATCGTACCGGATCGAAATAATCTTCATAGATGTACATACAAGTATTATTAATTTTTTCATGTATACTTTATATATATAGTGAAAGCTTTTCTGATATGTCAAATGTATATATGAAGATCATCTCTTTATAATTCACACGTTTTCTTTAATTATTGATACTATGTGTAAATAGGTACATATATAAGAAAACCAGTAGGCATAACTTTGGACTCTGAAGTACTCAACTTAGAGATATCCTATATTCCTTGCTGACCTACCGTTCCTTTTCTTTTTTTTTCCTGTGGAAATAGATTTTTTTTGTTCGATCTTAATGAACCTACGAGTATGAATGAATCACAAAAATGTGCTAAATTTATTGGGATATATGTGGGAAGTACCCAACAAATGTTTCAATGCAGTTGAGCTGAATATACATATTTGTATAAAACAAAATGAATGAGTCCAGCTCTAAAATAACTTAAAGCTCTATTTCATTTGTAATTCATTGTGGAGGAATCTGCAAAAAGTATCTTAGCTTTGAAAAATATATCAAAGTTATGAAATAAGAGCTTTGAGATAAAAGAGCTGTTATTTCGTATACCTTTTGCTGTAGTGCTTATGCGTATGTGCAATGTATACAGGAAGTAAATGTTGTTCCAAGTGTGGAAGTATTTAAATATATATAATCAACAGTTATAAGTGCGCTAATCGCGAGTGCATTACCAAGCATACATATTAAGAAATGGAATGTTTTTTAATATTTTAATAAGTTAATATTTTAATAAGCCAAGATCGTCTCAGCTTCTTGTCCTGATCTGATCGTCAATATAAATACATTATGGGATGTGCCGCGCGGGTTAAATACATTTCCAAATAATGTATTTTCATAATTCTCATTTTCGTAAGTTCATTAGAATTGTATATGTAAATATGTATCTATTCTTAATTAAGGGAGCATTCTAATCCATATTTAATGCAAGACTTCCACCAACTTGTTGCACATTTTGCGAAATAATGCTCTTCAGCTGCGATAATCACTCACACATGCATGCATAATATATATTTACATAATACTTGAATATTTAGCATGTGCTGATGATTCAGTATATATATTCATATTTAGCCAATAGATTGACAAGAGGGTTGAGGCTATATTTCCTATACATGTAAGAAATCTAATTCGTAATCATTAATCACGCTTGACTTTTGGATTTGCGATAATTATACAACTTGAGCGAAGGTAGACAGTAAAAGAGAACGCGTTGACCGAGACCTTACCTTGAATGTCACAACAAATAAAACCCAGATGCAAATAAAAGAAATACTTAAAACCTCAAAGCAAACCCCGAAAAAATACAAATAACAAAACGAAAATTGCCAAATTATATTTACTAGTCCATCTACTGTGGATTGATTTTCTAAAGTGTTATTCTTCTTCTTTCCACAAGTTTCTTTCGTTTACGTACGGATATTGTAGCAATAACCTTCAGCAAAATTATATTCTGATTCATACTTATCAAAATTTCATCAAATATTGATAAACATTATTCGAGCTTTACAAGTAACGAATCATCCAGCCTTCAAATTAAATTTATCTTTATAAGATCAGGTTTATTTAATTATCCTTGATTGGTTTCGATGCGACCTGCCCATTTCAGGGCATTTCTGTTTATTCTATATTTAGACCGTTTTTTTTTTTTGCAGCCTGATTGCACTTTGGATTTCCTCTTTTCAGCTGGGGCTACGCATTCTTTTTGCGTGTGGTTTATTTTTAAAAATTAAACAAAAGAAGCAGCCGCAGCATAGAAGAAGAAAGAAAAACCTGTTGTTGTCAGCAGCAACGTAAACGCGTAACCAGTTTTGTTATTGTTTTGTTGTTGTCAGTTTTGTTTTATCAGTTTGTTTTGGTTTTGTTTTGCTTGTCACTTTTGATGCCCTGCAATTGTAGGCGTATGGAAAACACGTACATACTCTGGATTTACGGTAGTTTTACTAAACTGCCCCACGTAAAGGAAACTTGAGCTATTCATATATCATAAACTGTTTTCCATTGATTGCAGTTGATATGTGAAATTCGCATAGATTGGCCCGGGTGTTTGAGTTTTGGCAATGTATAGGATTAACCCGTACTTAGGTACTGAGTATCTACTGTTCGTTATTTCAACTTGTTGCTCTGTTTTGTTTTTATTTTGAAGTTTATTTTTGTTTGTCTGCCCTCTTTCGGCATCTTCTTGAGGCGTGTTAGCGACCTGCCCCTCGAGTAACGGCCACGCATTTACTTAAATCATTTACATTGTACGAAGCACATAAAATGTAAAATTTATCGCATTTTTTTTTTTTATATTTCATTTTAAATAATATTATAGTATGCAAGATTTGCATTAAATTGAAATATAACGTTTTGGCCTACGTGACTTCAGTTAGCTGCAAAGCGGTTCTGTGACAGTTCGAAGCAGCGAGGAAAAACGAAACCAAATGCTTAAACGACAGGCAGCCCGTTTTCCATGCTAAACTAGTTTCTGGCATTCATTTAATGTTCAGTTATCAATTGGTAGCTGATTTAGATAACTCTGAATGGACCATAAATGGAGATGGAAAAGAAGATCACGTGAACATACATAGCGATATATGTAGATATGTGACTATCACGCATAGGCACGCGCTCTACTAACTGCGCAGTTGACGCAGCGCCTGCGTGTGGGCTGCAAATTGGGCTAAATAAGATATTGTTGAACATACATATTTTCTTGACGGAATTTTGTCAAATTTTCGAGGATAATGATAGTCATATGTGTATATTTTCTAATCCTCCAGTCTATAATAGTTATGGAAATATTATTTAAAAACAATTTGTATCACATTCTTAATCGATAACAATATATAGTGCTTGGACAAGGACAAGGAACTTCAAAATTTAAAAAATCAGTTTTGAAATCGACCTTTTCGAAACATACCGGCGGACGGAGAGAATAATCCGAGTAAATCGACTCACTCTGATTAGGAATATGTATACAAAAAATAATGTTTGTTGATTATTTTGAAAGTGTTTGCAAATATATTTAAATAATGTGAT